GGATCTGCCGAGCAGCGCGGAAACTTTTGGGCGAGTCGTTGCCGGGCTGCGGGCTAACTTCCCTCTCCCTCCCCGCTCCCTTCTCCCCACTCCCTTCTACTCCCTGCTCCCTTCTCGTCTCCTTTCTCCCCCCGGCTTTCCTCTCTCCCCCTCCTTTTTTCTCTTTTTTCCCCTTTTCTCTCTCTTTCGTCTCTTCCCTCCCCGCTCCCCCTTTCCCGCTCCACTCTGCTCCTCTCCCCCTCCGCCTTTTGTTTTCGCAGATAGTCGGCACACAAAGCTGGTCCCAGATTTGAGCGACGGCGAGACACCCTGATGTGTGAGCCTGGGGCGCGCCATGGATCTGACTAAGATGGGGCTGATCCAGCTGCAGAACCCCTGCCACCCCACCGGGCTGCTGCACAAAGCCAACCAGATGCGCCTGGCGGGGACGCTGTGCGACGTGGTCATCATGGTGGACAGCCAGGAGTTCCACGCGCACAGGACCGTGCTGGCCTGCACCAGCAAGATGTTCGAGATCCTCTTCCACCGCAACAGCCAGCACTACACCCTGGACTTCCTCTCGCCAAAGACGTTCCAGCAGATCCTGGAGTACGCGTACACTGCCACCCTACAAGCCAAGGTCGAGGACCTGGATGACCTGCTCTATGCTGCCGAGATCCTGGAAATTGAGTACCTGGAGGAGCAGTGCCTGAAGATCCTGGAGACTATACAGGCCTCCGAGGACAATGACACCGAGGTCGCCATGGCTGATGGAGGTGCCACCGCCACCACTGAGGAGGAGGAGGAGAAGAAGTCGAGGTACATCAAGGGCCTCTTCATCTCCAAGCCCGCTGGTGAGGAGGGTGGCTATGCTGGCATGGCCAGCCAGAGTCTGCTGGCAGCCACAGTGGAACAGAGCCCCTCAGCCTCCGCATCCTACTGCTCCCTCTCTTCCATGAGCCCCACCAAGGCGGCGGTGGACAGCTTGATGACCATCGGGCAGTCACTGCTGCAGAGCGCCCTGCCACCCAGTGCCCCCGAGGACTCTCGCTNCCTGGCAGCACCCGCTGCTCAGCCCCACTGCAGTACCAACAGCCCCACGGCACCAGGGAGGGTCCCGGGTGGTCAGGGCACAGCACAGAGCTGCCACCCTCGCACTTGGGCCCCTTTCTGCGAAACAGCCCCGTGCTCAGAACCGAAACCCTCCGCATCTCCCGCCCACCTCCCCCCCTACAGGGTGCTCTGCTGTTTGTACCAGGAACGAGGTGATTTCCTCTTCTCGTTCTTCCTTCCCCCTGTTCGTAGAAACGATGCCAAGTGCCGAGCGCAGGGCAGGGCACTCCTGCGAGTAAGAGCAGTGACCAGAGGCGCTTGTCACACGTGAAGCCTCTTTGGGCAGCTCTGCCCACACACTGCCCTTGCCTTCTCTTACAGAGTTGTGTTGGTGAGAACCAGCATGTGCAATGAAACTGGCAGAAAACCTGCTTCCCTGTAGCAGGAATAATCTTAGGAACATTTTAACTTGGGTGAGGACCTTCCCAGTGGAAGAAAAGTGAAAAGTAATTGATTTTGCTTCCCAGTTTCCTGTCTGCTCCTTGGGTGAGGGATGGGGAAATGCTATCCTGACTTTGCCATGCCTCCCCTAGCCTTTCAGTTCATCATCACCCTGGCTGAAGGGTGGCATTTGGTTGGGGTTTTTTTGGGGGAATTTGGGATTTGCATTTCTGGGGCTGTGGGGAAGATTGCATGTGGGGCAGGGCTGTAGGAAGTGGGTGTTGTGGTGGGAACTGGGCCACTGGCAGCTCCCAGCCTGCAGGGTGCTGAGTCAGCAGTACCTGAGAGTGGGGCAGCGCCAGGGCTGCCAGGGGATGCCCCCAGACCTGCCTGTGGGATTCCCCCAGCCCAACCCTGCCCACGGGTCTGGGGAGGGACACTGGCATCTCAGGATGCACAGGCAAGTGCCTCTATTGATTTCTGGCTTCTCTGACCCTTTAGCTGGAGGCAGCTCTTCCCTCAGCGTTGAACCAAATGTAACTTAGAGCAGTGCAGAAAAGTTTATCATCCTTCCCTTGCAGCAGTGAGCACTGCCCAATGCATTATTTAGCAGGGTGGGCTCTGTGGCAGGCTGCCCTGGAGCGGGGGCCATGACCAGGCAGCACATGGGTGCTGGGGCCTCTCATGGGTTGTGTGTTTAGGGTGCAGGCGTCGCTGGGAGGAGAGCTTACACTGGACCTTGCACTGGCAGAGAGACCAGCTCTGCCTGGCCAGAAGATGGGAAGGGGATGGCAGAAGAGGGGACCATGGTGCTGGGGGGCTGAGTGAGGGGTCACAGAGATGGGCATCTCCTGAGGATGGCACTCAGGATGCTTCTCACCTTCTCCCATGGTGCCGCATGGCGGGGCACCAAAGGCTGGGCCAGTGGCACCGCTGGCAGCTGTGCCTCATCCTCCTCTGGCTGGAGGTGGAGAGCAGCTCGCTCCCTCGTTAGCGCCTCTGTTGCCAAGTGAACGAAGCGGCCGTGCACGGCGAGCTTCCTGCCAGCAACCCGTGTGTGTGTCGGGGAAGGGCCCTTCCATCGGCACCGCACTGCGTGCGGCGCGCGGCCACGGAGAGCCAGGTGCCAGAGCTGTGCTGCTCGTGGTCCTGCTGCTCTGGGGACCCTGTGCTCCGGGGACTCAGGGACTGTGTGCTTTGGGGGGGACCCTGTGCTCCGGGGACTCAGGGACTGTGTGCTTTGGGGGACTGTGTGCTCCAGGGACCCTGTGCTCCAGGGACCCAGGCACTGTGTGCCCTGGTGACCATGTGCCCTGGTGACCCTGCTCTCTGGGAACCATGTGCTCTGGTGACCATGTGCTCCAGGGACACAGGGACCGTGGCTCTGCCGCTCCACGTGCCCCGGGCAGCCCAGCTCTGCCCCAGCAAAGTGCTGATTTACCATGTGCCCGTGCCGGTCATCCTCCAGGTGCCACCGCTGTCACCTGTTGCGCCGAGGGCTGCTGCTGAGACAGCCCTTCTGCTCCGGTCTGCGGCGAGGGTATTTTCAATTACCTCTGGTCACCTCTCACACAGAGTCTGCCCTGGCTGTCTGGGTCAGACATGAGTTAGCTGCAAGTGTCACCGTGTTAAAGGGAATAACTGTGTCGCCTTCGAAGGGACAGTAACGATGGATGTTAATGCCTGTGGAACGACAGCCTGTGGCAGCACTCATTAAACAAGACTCCGTTTGGATTGCCAGATCCCTTTGATTCTTCCTGCATTATCTTCTGCCTCATCCTGGCTCTGCATCCTGGCATTGGGGTTTTATTATTTTATAGGAGCTGTAATGATCAGGCTGTGCCATGTGGCAGTGGTCAGTGTGCTCTCCCCACCATCCTCCTCCTCCTCAGGGTGCTCTTCAGCAGTGAACAGAGAACTCTTTGGTTGCTGGAGCATGTGGGGGCTTCTGCCTCCAGATGTGTTTTGCAGCCAGAATATCCCATGTTTAGGGCTGTTTGTTGGAAAATCCATAATACTTGTATTAACAAGTAATGGTTTTGTCATTTTCAGTGTCTGTTGCTGGTTGCATTTCCCTGTGTGTATAAACTTTTCCTTTTCCTTAGTAAATAATGCCAGGGAAATGAGGGTGGAAAGCATTATGACTGTGTGGGCACAGAGATGGGGCTGTCCCTGCACTGCTGCCTGTCCCAGCCCAGCTCTGGAGTGGCCAGGCATTCCCAAAAGGACATGCAGAGCATCCTGGACACAGCCCCAGCTGCTGACACTTCCAGCACAGCACTGAGCTGCCCACGGGGAGGACCAGCTGGAATGGTGCTGAGCATCATTTCCACCCGACATATTATTGCTCTTGCCAGAGCAGATTTGAAATCTATTTAACTTTTCAGTGCCCTGTACCCCCTTAAACGTTTCCCCTTTAAACGTTTCCAGTGTGTTCTCGCTGATGGGTTACCTTTTCTTTCCCCTTGGGCTATAATTAGCGTCCTTTACACAGAATTGCCTTAGAATTGGATTTGAAGAAGATAAGAATCAAATTACCAGTATTTATCTTGTAAATTCCAAAAGTTCTACTGAGAGGTACTGTACAAGAAGGATTTTAAAAATATTGTGCCCTGAAAACACCAACCTCCCGTGGATCCCAGGATTCTCCTGAGGGTCACGTCTGCAAAATACCTTGGGATGCAGAACCGGGCAAGGAGGGAGACAGGATGGTTCTGTCCCCACCAAAACGCTGCTGATGAGCTGGGGAGACAGGCAAAACACCTCCCCAGGCAGGTGGAGGTGCTGAGTCAGGGCAAGGATAAGGATACCCCCTCCCGGTGGGTGACTGCATGCAGGGTGGGAGAATTGTCTCAGGCTGGGCTTTGGTTTTGGCTGTCACATCTGGTCCTATCTAGGCTGGAGAGGAGAAGCCTTTGAAATGCCGCCCCTCTCCCATTTTTCCAGGCTCCCACCTGGAGTCCCTCCCCGCTCTGACAGGCAGCTCTCAGATGGTGAGGCAAGTTGAGCACCAGAAAGGGATGAAGGTAATTTTGGTGGGCTCTGTTTTGACAGAAATTAAGCATCTGAATTTAAATGAAGGAGATGGTGAGCCCAGGCAGCTAAGACTATATTTTCATAGTATAAGCAGTTGCAGAAGAAGATTAATGGCATCTGTGTAAACACTCCATCGCAGCAGCAAGGGGCTGGGTTTTTTTAATAGTTAGAAAATACTAAGGATGGCTGGAGGCAGGAGACACCGTGCTTCCCTTCTGCTCACATCTTCCACCTCCCCGTCCATCCCACAGTAAATATTCCAGCCAGCCTCAGCCCCGCTCTCCCTTCTCGCAGTAAATTACATATTAAAGTAGCCTGGTAACTGAGCACCGGTTGCTGCGCGATAAGCTCGGGGAAATCGATATGTTTGCCATGTGCCTGCTTGTTTATGACACCTGCCTGCCGAGCAGTTGAGCAATGCTCCACGGCCCGGGCTGCGCTCACGGGAGGGGCTGCAGCAGCACCAAAGCATTTTTTTGCTTCCCAAGTGAGAGATACTGCACAGAGCTGCCTGGCAGGATCCTGCCAGGGGGTAAAATAACAGCAGAGATGATCTTTGGTGATGCAGAGCACGGGGAGGCAGTAGGATCAGAGCGGGGTCACAGCTTCATCCATTTTTGGGGCTTCTCCCAGCCCCTGCAAAGGTTTCTGCTCTGGTTCCATGTGCCACCTGCATGGGTAGGTGTGGGAGCAGAGCCAGGCGTTTACACGCTCATTTTGTGCACGCGGCGCAGGGAGGCAGCTGCCCACACACCGAGCTTTGCGGGTGGGGTTGGCATCTCCCGAGCTCCGTGCCACGAGGCAGGGGCTGTGCGTTCCCCAGAGTGACACACAGGACCCGTTGGCTGCATCCCAGTGCTCGGGATGTGCCCCAACCCCTGGGTCTGCCGGCAGCCAGCCCAGCTCTGCTCATGAACAGGGAGAGCCCTGGCTGAGAAAACTCTTCCCCTTCTCAGCCCAGGAGTTTGGGTGCTTTGCCTGCCAAAGGTGGGTGCCTGCTCACGTGCACCAGTGGGGCTTTGGGGTGGGAGCAGGCAGTTTTTCTGAAATCGCAACTCAGCAAGCTGCAGTAATTGACCTTTTGACCCAGATATGAAGTTGGAAGGTAAAAGATACATCTTGCAAGTTTTTTATAAAACTGTTGACCTCTCACAAGATTAACTCAGAGATAATAGTAATTATCAACAGTTTATGGTGGATCCAGTCGATGGTGAACATTACCTCCTGCCTAAAACTGAAGGTCGGTGTTTTACTGCAGCAGAGATAACTGCCACGGGTGTTCACACTGCCATCAGCCTGTAAAACCTCCCTGTACAGAGGGAACCCCTGAGTGGAGCCTGTGGGTAAACTGGCCCATGGGATGGGTCAGTGCAGTGCCCAGACAGGGGCTAGGGGATGCTGAATGCCTCAGGACAGAACAAACAGCCTCCCTGACACTGTGCTGGCACACCAGGACAGCGGCTCCCGTGGGACACCTGGATCAGCAGAGCGGGCAAGGAGAGGCAGCACCCTGCTCCAAAGAGACACGTCCTCTTCCCTAGCTTTTGACTGCGTGCTTTCACTTTTTATGTACAAAAGATTGTCCATTTAATTAACTCGAGAATGCAATTTCAAAACCACTAATGCTTTACACATGACAGCTTTTAAAACACAAGTAGTGTTCCAGTCCTGCGCCACACTCCCTCTGCCTCTTCTGGGTTGTTTTGGAGACAGACATTGCCTCCCAGCAGACCCTGGTTCTTGAACAGGATTTGAACTGATTTGGGGTGTTTGATCCTGGCTTTGCCTTGTTGGTGTGCCTGGGCTGGCAGGAGCCTCCATA